CCATCGCTTCTAGGTTGAAGGCCATTGCTATTGGGTTGGAGGCCATCACTTCTAGGTTGAAGGCCATTGCTATTGGGTTGGAGGCCATCGCTTCTAGGTTGAAGGCCATTGCTATTGGGTTGGAGGCCATCGCTTCTAGGTTGAAGGCCATTGCTATTGGGTTGGAGGCCATCGCTTCTAGGTTGAAGGCCATTGCTATTGGGTTGGAGGCCATCACTTCTAGGTTGAAGGCCATTGCTATTGGGTTGGAGGCCACCACTTCTAGGTTGAAGGCCATTGCTATTGGGTTGGAGGCCATCGCTTCTAGGTTGAAGGTCCTAGTGAACAAAAGAACCTGTTTATTTTAAACAGCTACTTTAGGCTGCAGCGCTCAGCCGGGCGTTGCCACTCCCACGAACCGAAGGGGCTCCGGGCGAATCGCCCTCGGATTCACCCACCAGCCTGGCGACGGTGACCATACTTGATCGGACATGGAAGAAACACGTGGTAGAAGAAACTGGTCAAATCAGGTCAAATCAATCCCAAGTGATACATGCTGACAAGTTATATATGGCTGCTGAACATGGTAGAAGATGTGTCAGCATCGTCATTCAGCAGAACTCATGAACCTGGGCCTTATGACTCCCTGGTGCGATCCATTCGCAGAAAAACCACCGAATGGTGTCCTGGTGTCCAAGGTTCATCAATACCCAGTGGGTACCAGGTGGGCCCGGAAGGCTCAGTGGAAATAGACGTGGGCTCAATGGACATTCAGCACCAAGGTATTCATACAGACCCTATACTAGGCCCTAAACCCTTGGCCTACCCCAGCTTTTGATACAAAACGACTCTTGTGCTCCAAGCCCGGACCGTTGCGCTCGTCATCGTTCGGTACTCAGGGGACCCCTCCTACCCATCCGCACTGTGCTCCCGCACGTTGGGCAGCACGGCCCACCGAGCCCCGTCGCACAGTGAAGCAACCTTCCCCCCCCCACAGCCTTCAAACACGCGACGGCGACGGAGACCGGGGCTGACCTTGGCCTTAAATAGGAGCGATCGGACCCCCCAGCATGGCCCCTGTCCCTCCATGTCCCTCCACCTTACCCTTCACGTCCCTCCACCCGGCTCCGCGGTGCGTTCTCGCCGACGGCCCGGCTCGTCGCTCCTGGCGATGTCGTCGATGGAGGAGTCCACCGTCTCGGTGCCGTTGACGCCGATGACCTCGGAGCCACGGCGTCGCCGCGCGGGCGCGGTGGGGCGTGGGCGGTGAGGAGGGGGGGTGATGAGGGAGATGGGGAGGGGCGAGTTGTGAGAAGGTGGTGTTCTTCGTGTCGGTGACTCACCCAGTCCGGAGGCCTAGGCGCCCACGTCGGAGAACGGAAGGTGACACGAAAAAAGGGGACACCTCGTCTCTAAAGCCGAAAAAGGGGCCCCTGGCCAGTTCGGAGTACTCTCGACCAAGAAGAGTACGGTCTTCTTCTGTCTTTGTCTCCCAGAGGCTGATTGGACCCTCATAGCTAGGGTTTTGACCCTCACAGCCAAGGCTTTTGGACCTCAAACATATAGGAGTTTGAGGCTCCATCAGCCTCTGGGCTTGAACCGTTCGGAGTACTCTCGTCGCTCGTTCCGCTTTGCGAAGCGGCTGAGACCCCCGGCCCGATCGCCCTCCAAGATCCACATGCCATCCTCCTCCTCCGTGACGCACACCTTCCTTGGGACGCCGCACGGTGAGACCGGAAACGAACCGAACGGTTGGACACGTAAGTGAGACCCGGCCAAACGGTGGGACACGTTGGAAAGGAAGAACCCACTTTCTTTCACATGAGACCTGCAAGAATGCGTTTCTGAAGACAGAAAGACGTTGGTTCGAACCCAAGCTGCGACCACGAATGGATCCACACATGATTATTTGATATTATTTGGTCAAAGTATGTCAAAGTCAAGTGTCTTTCAGAATGACATCGGAATTTATGGATGTTTATGTGTTGGTCAACTTCGATTTAGGGCTCGTTTTGCTATGTTCATTCTCTGTGTTGCCAGTCACCGTATTTTTGGCCGCTGACCGCTTACTTTCCTCTGCTTTCAAACGGGTGAAAGTCACATCCCCAACACTCTATTGATGACTTGCCCTGAGCCCTGCACAAGTTATGGCACTTTCTTTATGCTACTCAGCTGCTACTCCATTACTTCTTAGTAGCCAACCATACATCTTTGAAGGATGCCCGATGGCCAAGTGAAAAGTCTCAAACACCTTCCCCTAGTCTCCTCCCCCCAAACATCATGAATACTGATGACTGTCAGACTGATCACTCGCCATTTTAGGTGCAAGATGGTGCAAGGTATTTTCCATTCATCTTGTCCGCTGGCCCAAATCACAAAGTGTGATCCCCCGAACACGGCGCAACACCCCAAAACACCTGCGAATGTCTGTGGGAATAACCTTGCGTGAGAGTGAAAGAAACGGGGGCTTGCTTCGTGTCAATGCGAAGTTGACTCGGAAAGCGGGAATCACTCCCGCTTGCCACCAAAGACATCGACCGAATCCTTGTCTTCCATGATCCGACACGCGAAGACATAGCGCGTAAGCCGCTCTGAGATGGAGTTCGGGCGAGGCGGATCGCTCGGGTCGTCTCGCCCAAGGCGCTTGTTGAGCTCATAAGCATTGCCATCTTGGACCACCTCGCTGATGCCCACGCCTGATCGCCGGTCGCATGGTCTGCGCAGAGCGCGTCTCGAAGTGGTTGGGACGACTGTTCTGAAGGGGACCTCCTCATGAAACCGAAAGTCCACAAAAACTTGCTCCGTGTTTCAACCACTGGCTATGGGGAGGTGCAACATTGCCATTGCTGTCAGGTGCCGCCTCTCCGAAAAGCCTCTCCCCAGCGGTCTTGGCTCATAGGTGCAGGGAACTACCTTGTTGAAACATTGTTCATCCCCATGTGCCCATGTGCCAAAAAAACTCAGTGTGCTGCCGTCACCTATAATCCTGGATTGCATTGCGCAGATATGCAATCCCTTCGCTGGGACACGCGGATCGGTGCCCCTTTGGCACCGTCGAGTCCATCTCTATCCAATCCCTCTGGGCACCCCCGACCACGGAAGCCACCTGCAGATCGGTCACCGCTCGACGTTCCCTCCCAAACGGACGCCCTGGTCGTGGTCGGTGCATACCCGGTGACCGTTGTGGCCGTGGTGGTCGTAGCCGCTACGTCTTCGGTCTGAAACGAGATCGTTCGAACCGGTAGTCACGGCCCAACGCGGTGCGCATGGAGGTTAGGCCCCTGTCATCCACGGCCCCTGTCGTCCCATCACCCCGACAGACCCCGTTCGAAGGGTCGCCCGGTGTCAACACGTCGTCCCATCGCCCACAGCGTGACGCAGCGCACAGTGCTGCTGCGACGCTTTTTGGTAAGCACTGTAGAGGGAAGTGGAGATCTGAACTACAGAAGTTCTGCAGAACAGAATGTCAGGTTAAAACCTGCAAACGGCTTTTCTTCAGCATGGTATAGCCTTAAGGTCTGCAAAAAAGTCCCATTGAGGCAACCTAATCGTAGAAACTTCCTGAGCTTGATGCTTGAAGAGCATACCAAAATGCATCCGTTCGACCATTTAATAAAGGGGAAAGACGTGCGTTGTGTAAAGTCCTTAGTAAAAGGATGGCTGTTCCGTACAACACATTAAATCAATGGTTGTCTGGTGTGGCAACGGTTGACACACCTCGATCTCCAACCACTGGCCGTCCGAACTGGTGTTGAATTAGAGATTCGAGGAATGCCCCTAAACCGCCCGTCTAAACCCATCTAAACCCTGTCCTTCACTTTCGATACCTTAGGTCCAGGTCCAGGCACCCTCATTCCTGACGACTCGCACCTGTCAGTGAATCCGTGTTCGATAGCGCCCGAAAAAGAGACTGTCCGAAGGCTCTGCAAGAGAAACATCACCAAGTCGCTCACGAAACGCACAAACGTCATGGTGCATGTAAAATCATGTAAACAATCCAACTCTCCGGTCCTTACAAGAATCCAACCACGGTATCAAGAATCAACTGCATCCATTTGTCCCTGATCCATCCTGATCCAACATGATCCAACTACCAGGACCTTCCAACAGGTGGTTTTTGGACACCCCTTAATCACTAAGAGGCTATTTATAGACACCTCTTGGTGTCGGTCCTGGTATCTAAATCATGTTTCTGTCATCTTTCACTCATTTCGTCTTCGCCTGGCGCGGTTCACGGGCTTGGTCACGAGGGCTCGAGAAACCCATGTCGTGAACGGAGGGTCGGTCCTCGTCATGTGACACGTTCCAAGCGAAAAACAACAGCCTTCAACCCAAGAAATCCCTCGTTGGCAGCGCAAACCCTACACCTCCAGTCGTACCTCCTCAGAAGGTATTTAGACCCTCCTGGCACCCATCCCAGTCCCACCTTCTCAGGTTCGGTACGACTGGAGGCATAGCGCAGAAAACACCGGAAAACCATGGGCTCTTCGCTCCGCTTCGCTTCCAACGGTCAACGCCAGAAACCGGTTTCAGGATGGATTCAGGACGACCCCCTGAATCGTTCGCCTGCGGAAAACCAACAAACCGTCATGTGCGACACGTTCCAACGACACGGTGTCCCCAACGACACGGTGTCTCCCAACCCCCAACAAAAACCACTCACCTCCGTCCGGACCGTGCGGAGTCCGTTCCTCCGGGACTCCGCTTCCGGGAATCCGCCGCTCGACGCGGGGGAACGGGGGCGCCTTTCTTGTCGGGCAAATATTCCAAGACCAATCCCATGGGCTTCTTCACTGTGACGTCGAAGATGGCTCGGTCTCCACCTCGTTTTCGGGGTGACCGCGATCGATTGACATGAGAACGCGAGAAAAAATAGCGTCTGATAATAAACACTATTAAGTGTTTTTCTCTGTACATGACATATAAGTCCAGATGTTCAGGCTTAAGTCTAAGTCATGACAGAAACAACCAAGTCAGGAAAGACAACAAAAGGAAGCCTATGGGAGTGAGAAAGAGTTCTTTAACGAAGGGTTGCCCAAACCCTAGAAGTCCAGTTCGACTATATTTTGACCGGCTGAAGTAAAGGAAGTTCCCTTTCAGGTCCCCTAAAGACAACGCTTTTTTAGTCTTTGACTCCCAGGGCAAAGGAACTGCGAGTCTGCGTGCCATCAAGTTCTTGGCACTGCTCGGAATTATCATGGACAAAAAGCTATCCCAAACTTCTGGACATTCTTGTTGAAAGAATATGAAAGAATAGTCCTTCTAAACCTCATTGCATTGCCATTCTATCATCTTCTCTGCCAGCTTCACTCCGGATCCACCATCTGCACGTCTGAACCCTTCTTGTTCCTTTTAAAGGCCTCTCAAATGAGCTAAACAGGTCTCATCTCCTCAAACAGAGGGCTTTGGGATTGGAGATTCTTCTCTTTCTTCGCCTCCCAAAAGAGATGGCGGAATCTCTTCAGCTTCGGTCAACAGATCGGTGGGATTCGCGGCTGAACCAGACCCCTCCAGGGTTCGCCCGTTCCCTCAGGTTTCGCCCGTGTCCGCGCTGAAGAAAGACATGGGTCACCAATTTCAATACCCGGCCTACACCCTAAGAATCCGGGCTCCTTCACCAACACATCAGGTTTGGTTTGGTCCCCTGCGAATAGAATTCTTACGCTAGGGGGACCAAAGGATTCTTACGCATAGAATGGTGAATTAAATTCCAGTAGCGAACACATTAGCTTTGGGCCCAAGGATTCTTACGCTACTAGGTCCTTTCATTCGAGATCAGGGCACGAGACCTTGATCCTGCCTCCTCCCCCTGGGCCGATGCGGCACGGACCAGGCGTCCCGGGCTGATGCGCTTCACCTTGCGGAACCACTCCACCCTGGCGACGCGGGACGCGGCGGCCAGGCGTGGTGCGTCCAGGCGTGGTGCGTGGCAGCGGGGAACGTCCGGACGTGGACGGACTCGAGATGTCTGAAGGAGTTCAATGGAAGGTCTCACGAAATGGAAGGTCCTGACTTCCAAGGACCAGACGAACGGCACTGGACAAGTTCGAAGCGAAGCGAAGGGAAGGGAAGGGAACTCCTGTTCGAAGGAGTGGAGAAGGCAACACCCTTCGAGGGTTAAAGGTTGTCTGTCCTCTCGCGAACGATAGGATTTTGGGATCGTCGGTTTGGGAGTTACCACAGGGACATGAGTACATGGGGGGTGGGTGGTTCACACAGCACCAGTAAAGCAAAGGGTTTGAAAGAGCATTCCAAACCAACATCTTCATCGACGGAAAACGACAGACCTTCAAACACAGCCCTTTTCCCCAAACTGCAATGCGGATCCCAAGCTGCACCCGATCATGCCAATGCTGAGGACAGTCAATTTCAACCAGCTGTAGGGTTGGTGCGTCAATCTGACAAGAACATAAAGACACTCATCAAGACATCAAGGACCTTGGAAGGACCTTTAAGAAAACACACCAAATCTACATGATTCCCAACTTGAAGCCACCCGAAGCACCCTCCAACTCCATCCGGTCTTCGTCTTCGTCTTCGAAGGTTTCGGTTTCCGCGCTGCGCTGTGCCTCGTGGCGCGCAGGGCCACGGAACTTGGGCTCCCATGTCGTCGCAGGAGTGCCTGAGGCAAACCCTTTTTCAGTGCAGCATCAGTTTGTCAAAGAGTTTAAAACACCTTTAAAGATGCATGGGGCTGGAACGAGACCCTTTGTCAGGTTTCATTGGCGTCTATGTCTTGTGATTCCTTTGTTGTTTCTGGATAGGCTGCAGTCTTCCTAGTTCCATCAAGCTTTTCGAGGAAACGCATTGAAGCCGTGGTGGCCTTTTGCCATACTGACCCGGAGAAGCTGATGAGGTGAAGCAAATCAACGTCGCAATCATTTTGCCATTGCTTAGTTACTTTCCATTTCACAGAATAAATTGTGACTCTGTGACTCTGTGGTTCTAGATCATTTGTTCGGATGAAAATGGATGAAGCATAAAAAGACCCATGTCTGGATGTTTTCGGCAACAGTCCACAACCTCCACTCGTCCGGTGACCTTCACTCGTGTGGGGCGACGGAGATTCAGATGGCCAGGTGGTTGAAACCACCCTAGGCTTCCTTTCCCACCATTAAGCTCTAGAAGTCTAGGGTATATGTTTTTTCCAGGATTTCACGTGGATTCGATGGTCCACGTCACGACATCATCAGGGAGTGTCTCTCGAAAGGCATCCTGAAAATTCCTTTTAAGTGAGCTTTAGCTGCCAAGCAGGACGCAATCTGCAATCTGCAAAGCTTGGCAATTGGTCATTCTTCCGGCTGGATGCTCTTGGGCATGTTTTTAATGCGCTTGTGGGTCACTCAATGCCAGTTTCAGCAATATCAATCGTGTTTGGGGCGTTTCCACTTCAACCAACTGGTCCTTTCAAATTCGAAGCACCAAGCAAACTGTTCAGCAAACTTTTCGTAACCTTTTGCCTAGCCCGTCCAACCCTCCCCAACCCATCCAAGCTGGGATGCCACGGAGGCAGCACCCAGGGCCAACATGCCACTGGTGGCCAGGCCCCATCCACCGGCGCCCAGCTCCGCGCCCTGAAAGGAACGGGTGCGACGACACTCGGATTGGGAGATGCTGTGAAGAGATGCCTAGAAGTGCCAGAAACGAGTTCTTTGGGGACCAGCAACGTGTGAGATTTGTGCAGGCAGTTCTTTGGAGATGACATCATCTTCTGGTCACTGAAAGATCATTTGATGACATCGTCTTAAAGACCTCCCAGGGGGAAGGATCAAAAGGAGGCCAAAAAAAGGGAAGAACTGCGACCACCTGACACATGGATCAGATCGGCAGAGACCGTAACATGCCGAACAACTGCCGTCCTCCAGCCCCTCCCGCCCCTCCTCCAGCTTCGATGCACTTCCCATCGGAGCACCTGACGTTCGCCGAGCGCGAGTTCGGCGCTCGAGGCCGGCGCCCCGCGGGACCGTCTCGTGCGGTCCAGTGGCAGGGATCTGCGGCAGACACCGGCAGCAGAAAGCCTTGGAATCCGTTTTTTCGCTGCGGAGCGGAGCGTCGCCCGTGTTCTTCACTCCCCAAGTCGCAATGCTTTGTTGACACCCACCAGCAACCAAGAGTTCTCAACTCACCCAAACTCTATCCTGCCTCAAGTCGTGGTCCAAGTTCAGAGATCCCACTGATCCCGACCAAACCCCTAGACGCGACTAGGACACATAGACGAGACATAGACAGCGACGACGAGCGGTGAGTCTGTTGGATCCTGTGAGCCGAAAGAGCGGTGAAATTCGGAAACCGATGAACCTGATTGGACCGACCCGTACTTGAAGTCCCAGGAACCGACGATCCGACGATGGAAGGCATCATCATATCATCCATTCTGAAGGACATGAGCCGAGTTCTACTCGGGATCACCGGCCTTCTATAAGCCAGACACTCCATGGGACTGCAATCTATGCCTACATTGACCCCCAAAACCACCCCAATGTAGGCATATGGCATACATGGAGTGTCTGGGTAAGCCTTGACCGTTTAAAACGTCGAACAACGGACCTCCCACGGGGGGGACAAACACATCGAACGACCCAACGGACTCGCGTTCCGCTGCGCGAAAACCGGTCGTTCGGACGTACATCCGGTCCTCACCTCCACGGAGACTGGGACGGGCCAGGTTCGACTGGGCGCCTGAAAGGTTCGACGGGCCGATTTGGGTCCGTTCAGTGATGAAACAAGCTCCTTAAGCTAGGGATCTAATGTTAATAAACTCCCCTCAATTTGAATTGGGCACTCGTCTTCATCGAAGGTTTATTCATCAGTCTGCATCTGATCTTTTGTCTGTCATGGCTGCTGGCCCAAATCAGCAAAATCCTGGTTGCCGGTGGAAGAAACTGGAGACAAGACGTTTCTATATTCGGTCTATGCCGCGGTCTCAGTCACAGTAAATTGACGACCACGTTCAACAAAAACGTGATTTGCGACCGTTTGTTGCACTGTTAGAGGTCATGGGGACACACCCAACTGACTGTTGCGTCTACCAGGACCCTCCAACAGGCTGTTAGTTGAGGGTTGTTGGACCCTAACTGGTCTCAATTGGTGACCTGTCGAAAATTCCTACTATTTGCTTTGAGTTTCTGCTTTCATGGGACGGCTGTTTGTCATTAAGATTCGTCTCTGTTCTAAGACTGGATTGGCTGTCGTCCGACTTGGGTCCATACTCAATTTGTGGATGGTTCAAGTTGGATGTGCGGACCAAAACATTAAAACATGGATACTTGGTTACACATTTTGCGCGTCGCCAGCAGGCATGGAGAAACGTGAGCTATGCTGCGTCCAATATGAAGTAGCTTTCTATTCCCAGTAGCTTACCTCCCTTATACTTAATCAATTAGGCGCCTACGTAATGAAGTAAGGGCGGGCGAAACAAAAACATCCATCCAGTGGTTCAACACACGAGACCCGAAAACTTGTTGGGGTTGGATCTCCCTTCTTCCCATAGCGTCGACTCGTCCTCGAGGTCATTCTCCCCGCGGAGAAAAGATACGCCAGCGGTGAGGATGAGGTGAGACGGAAACTCTTGTGGATACCCAGGTGTTGTATACCGCGTAGCCCCTGCAAGAGTACCCACACAAAGGGCAAGAACAAGTCTATGGTAGCAGTGCGTTGCTCTTGCTCCGCGCAAAAACCCACAAAAGCACCGATGGAGCATTGTGGTGGGGTTGGCTGGTACCTTCTTTTCAAAGCTATATCTCATCTGGCTTCCCCCTCCAGACTCCAGTGCAACCACCTGTAGCAAGAATCTGCGATTTCTGTTTGAATGCCCCTCCCAAACAGGAACTGACAGCTTGATGAACTCTCCCAGAATCCCTGAACATGCTGTCCACAGTTCAATTGCAATGTGTTCTCCTAGAAACATGTGCCTACGAAACATGAACTGTAGCTCTTGTGAGCTTGTGCATCAATTCATCTCCCACTGATGCTGTTCCCAACAGCAACACCTTCTCTCCACAAAGTGTTGTCCAGTATATATTATATATATAGTGTTTCCAAGGTGCCTGGTAGTTCTCGTCCATTCAACAAACATCAAGAATCCTTGGTGCCACATCCGCCTCAACAAAACCGAGCCGCCACATCCACGCCTGGCACGAAGCTCAAGCTTCTCAGAGCCGCCACAAGGAGGGCTGCCAGGGCCACCTGTGATCTGTGATCTGCTCAACGAGTTTCAAATCACCCCGTAACCAGTTGGGTAGAAGACATCTGAACTCGAGGATGGAGCCGCCATCCCCCACCGAACCATCCATGGAAAGGAACTCGGAGCTCGGAGTTGAGTCAGAAGATTTCGACATGTTGCAGGCTTTAGACTTGAGAAGTGTTGCTGTTGTTGCTGTTGCTGCTGCTGCTGTTGTTGTTGTTCTCCAACTGACTTGGGTGACCCAGGAATCGCCAGCTTCTCGCCCACGACAGGGGGAAAATCGACTCCTAGCTTCCGACTTGTCAGACGAGCTCAGTCTTAGGGGGACCGAGTCTCCCCATTAACAATCCCCTGGGTTGGAAGGGAAATAGACCAGTCTACCCAGGGGCCAGGGAGTCTCCAGTCATATGAGAAACATCTGGGTCTCTACCGTGGCCCTGTAGTCATGGAGTGTTGCTGAAAAAGTGGGCTCGCACACCATTGGATACCGAACATGTCGACGATTGCATGGGCCAGCGCGGGAACAAACACAATCGAGACAAGCTTGGGAGAACGCATTCTTCTCAAGAAACCATTGCACAATTAGTGCTACATGCCCCCATTCCAACAGAGATTCAGCCCGCTTCAACAGCTTCAACCATCAGTGGTGTATTGTTTGGAGGGAGCTTCCAACTTCCAGGTGATCTTCACCCCACAAAAGACAGGGACTTTTGGGGTTCTGTGAATGTGGCCCATCTCCCGCCGCATGGTGAACACCTGGTGAACACCTGGTTGTCGGGCGAGGACGGTGAGTTACGGAACCGAGAATCGGACAGACGGAAGCTTCGTCGCTCGCCACATGCTTATATAGTCGTCGGTTTGGGAGGGATGGATGGAACGGTTCACCAATGGTTCTTTGCAGGGTTGCTTCTGTCGAAGCAATGCGTCGAAGCAAGTTGAATCAGCAGCGGCATGCGAACTGAATTGCAAAGACCCGTCGATTCGTCGATTCTTCTTTCCAAACACCTATAAAGTGATCCCGGAATAGATATCGAAACGGTGTTCAATGACATTTTTTAGTGGGGATCTACTATTTTCTATCATTCCCAAAGGATCAAAACAACTCTGGGGACGTCGGATTGCGGATGGGACGTCGGTTTCAAAAGCTGAGACCCCAGCAAGGTTCCACAAAGCTTCGACCCGTCGTGGTGACACCCCAGCCCCCCACACAGTCTGGGCGCACATGTTTTCTAAGGAATGCTCGCACATGTTTGTTGAATCTCTTGAAGAGGTCCATGGAAAGCATCGTGTTGTACTTCTGTATCACTCGCTGGGACAAGTTCCCTCGATGACACATCCGGGCCACACGGGATATAGCACCTACAAAGCTCTCACCAGCCAGCAAAGAATAGTAGCGACAGTTCACTCTGCTGGACCTCACTTCGTGAAGAACATGAAGCATGTAGTGATGCTTAGGAGCTAGTTGCCATAAAGCTCTATTCCCAGCGTGTGCTCCGGTCACTCCAGCCGAACGTTTTCGCAGCCGAGCGTACGTTAAGAGATGCATGTGACCAGATCGAAAAATCTCATTGGCTTGCCCTTCTGTCAAAACAAGCGGACTCTGATCCAACAAGGTCAAAAACCGTCTGTATGCCAATGCTGTTGTAGCTACCAGCTCATCAAGTTCCGTCCGACCATTTCGAGTGGCAAAGGTTTTTGCCTCGTCAGCAAGCCAGTAAGAAAGCCTCTTGCCAGCGATCCCTTTGGAACTCAAACACGGAAAGTCTTGTCGGGAATGCCGGTTCACGCGGGAGCAGGTGAACCGTGCCTGCGTCGAAATAACTTTGTTCAGCTTCTTCCAAGCCCCAAATTTCACAAAGGCCCTGTTCAACTGCTGCTGAAGCATGTGTGGATAGCGACCCCGTGACATCTCACCAAAAGCCCCCGACTCACATAGATATACAAGCACTGATCCTGAGGAGGGTTGAAACAATAGCTTGTTTGCAGGTCAAGTACATGTTAAACTATGGCATTTAAAAGTAAAAACCTTCGAATCATATAGCTGCGGTTCCATTCAGCAGTTTGCCCGTCCCCAAGAGTTGTCCGTGTAGAACATCGTGAAGAAACCGGTGAACATGAAATCCAGGGATTTGCGATGTGATGGATCCTGCAACGTACAAAACTAAAATTAATATACATAGCTCTAGATACAAAGACGAGCTCCAACACACACACACGCACAAAAAAGAAAGACTATGTGCTGCCCTTACAAGCAAGCTGCTGTTTAACGGTGTAGTTCGACGAAGGTACTCAGCGTGTGTCACCAAAGTTCTGCGATGAGCAGCTTCCTCACGCATATCTCCAAGAGTCATACTTACATCCGCATGAGTTTTCTGACAATCACAGAAAGTACAGAACTCATTGTTGAGATAGGGCTGGACATAGTGCTTTTGCAGAAGGAACTTCAGGTCCCCCTGGTTGCTGGAGAACATGAATTGGTATTGATCGCTCCATGGAAACCTTTCAACTGGATCAACCATCCGGGTAATCCTCTTCCCAACTTCACCCATAATGTCTTCATAAGTGAAATCGGATGCAGTGTAATCCGAATAGGTTGTAAGAAGAAGGTACCTGTTAATAGCAGTCCTGTGGTAAGCAAAGTCACTTGTCCAACCCAAGACAACAATTGTTCCAACTTCGGAGTTCCGGTATGTGTTCACCTCGTCACCATACGTCGACAATGGGATCAAGCAGTCACGACGCGGAAAGGTAAACATTGGATGCTCCCTGAACCACTCAGCACCACTGTTAGCCACATGGTCCCAATATTCTTTCACTTGGCCACGTGTCATGGTTCCAAAGAAGATAAATTCAAACACTCGTGGCCCAAGCTCCCACAATGCCATGGCCATCTTGTCTGGCATCACAATCGGCAGCTCGGTGGTATTGATGCATGCATTTTTGTGATCCCACATTCGAACTCGGATTCGCTCCACTTCAGGTTTCAAGTGACAAAGTTTGTCGAGCACACCATGCAAGTCCCTTTCAGCGTTCGAAGGGTTCTTCCCAGACGTCCCTATTCTAGCCAGTTTGCTAATCATGTGCTGTTGTGGAACGTAGGCACCCAAGCTAGTGCACAAAGAGATTGCTGCATCTGCAAGTTGTTGTACCTTAAGTGTGGGAACTGGGAACTGAACTATGTTGAGTCACTGATGGTCATTGATGTTGAGGGCTAAAAGAAGAACGAAAACCTTTTGTCGAATGTGACCAGCTTCTTTGATGGCTGAGCTTTTGCCCGAAGAAAAGTCATCTAAAAGCAAGCGCCAAAACTGCTCTCCCTGCTCATCCGAGGCAGTCAAGGTTGGCCGCTTTGGTGGAGCAGCAGCAATTGAAGAGTCCTGGCCGCAGGCGCAAATCGAGGGCATAGCACGTGAAGCATTTCACGATGTGGACCATGAGGCATGACTTGATCACAAGACGGTTGAACCACTGTTGCCACTTTCTTACATGGCCCACAAACAGTTACCAGCCTCGGCCGGCAAAGGAACATCACCAGCACTGCTGCAGGCTCTGCTACGAAGCCCTGCCACGTTGAGATCATATCAACGGAACCGTGTGATGAATGAACAGGGTCCCAACAGGTAGAAACACATCGAAAATCTAGGGCATATTTTTCATTCTCGCATTGGTATCCTGCAGCATGTGTGGCATTCCAACATGCTATAGATCAGAACCTTCGCCCGCAGGATGGCAGCACATGATAAAGTTCAGTGTAACCACACGCATAGCAATTTCAATTTCATGATCGTATAAAAACCTGCGCGGGATGAATTGGCTTTCAATCCCCTGGTCTCACAGCAGACTCAACCTAACCACCGTGAGGCGGCCATTTTGGCCAACACATGTCATACATGTGCTTCCCCTAATAGGTCAAAACAAGCTTTGCTACACATGATGGTAGGCTCAGCCAACACTTTAGCTAGCAAGCTCACCGTCATCTTTGGAATCCTTATTGGACTTGGCATCCTTTTTCTTCAGGGGCCTCAACACCTGATTTGCTACAGCGGCATCTTCGTCAAACATTTTCAATCGGTCCACGGCCAGACGAACTGCTGCGCAACAGGCTTCCGGGTTGAAGTTGCCTTCTGATTCCTGCACGAAGCCAGAGCGAGATGGAATGTGACTAGGCATAGGTTACAAGAACTGCAAACACAAAAAACGAGAATCACATAGAATAACTCCTTGTACTCTCCATGGACAAACTGCTGAATCTGGAAGTATGAAGTCTCGATTTCAACTGCGTGTGTGCACAGTGTCTTTCCTAAGATGTTAACGTCTTTTTTTTGGTTCTCTGTCATCCACCATGAAAACAAAACATCGAACAGACGAGCTTCTCAAAACCTCTTGATGTTTCAGACTCGTCAACTTCACTGGCAGAATCTTGGCGGTGGTCAAAGCAGTCGTCAATCTTGGCAGCAGCCAACGAGCAGCAGCAAGCGGTTCTTCCAAAGGATCCGGCATTGGCCTATAGCATAGTGAGCACACAAGCTTTTATATGTCTCCGTACAGTGTCTCTTTTTGTACGCATGCCCAAAAGCAGGATCGAGAAACAAAAGCTTCAGCTGAGAAGCAGTTTCTTTTTGGGAATTGGCTTGTCCGGCTTGTCCTCTTCCTCCTGGTCCTTGCCCTTATCTTTGTCTTTGTTACCTTTGCCTTTTCTATCTTTGCCATCTTTGCCTCTACCCTGCCCCTCACCACCACCTCCCACAGCCAACACGCCCCCCACTCCGTTGTTCACACCCATATCCGGCAATGTGAGCATGTTCTGCAAGTTCGCAGCAGAAGCGAAAGTCTGCGAAGCCTCCCAGAAGAATCAAACTATATAGGTGTGCATACATTATTTTGGGAAAACCGTGAGCACGCCTCACTTCCGGCTTCTACTGTCGTGGACAAGCGTTGGCTGATTGCATCGGCTGTCTCTTGCTCTGACACATTGCACATATCCAGCAAAACCTTGGGTTGA